TCTGTGTGGTCCATCACGACTACCGCAGTCGAATTTCCAGTAGATGATCAAGGAATCATGAGCGCTTGTTCTGCAGGAAAGCCGACCTTGTTCACAGACAAACATGTCGTCTTGGTCGTCAGAGCAAACCCAATTAAGCAAATTCTGACTGATAAGAAGCTATCGTTAGTTTAATATTACAAATAAACGCCAATACACTCGAATATGACTGTACTTGAATAAATAAATAAATAAATAAATTGGTCCGATTGCTGAATTACGAAGGACGCAGATGACGTGATCGAGTCGGTTATGCGGTATACGAAAAAAAAGCAAACAAAGCAAACAACCGACTCATATCTGATCACGGAGCACAGCTATAGGATCGAAATGTTCCGTTTTTACTGAGGGAGTAAAAACCGGAGAACTCGGAGAAAAAACCCTCGAAGCAAGGGAGAGAACGGAAACAAACTCAAGCCACATATGATCCCAAGTCAGAATCGAACCAGGGACCACAGGTCTATATACTGAATACTTCGTATTCAGGATGTCAGGCGAAGTATCGCCGACATACGAATCAACTGGATCAAGGTTCTGTTACACATACATGGAGCATGGAAAACGGGGGAACAAACACAAAATCTTAGCTGGTAAAACCTTAGATGGGCAATCAATTTAAGATTATCTAGAACACTTTTACATCTGCAATAATTGATTAATGAAAAACAATTAATAAAACAAGTTAATGAGCACAAAAGCAAGGGAACAGTAGGATCATAACTGTAGAAACGCGCCATGACTGCAGGCCGAAAGCGAACAAGTGAAGAAAACCATAGTATTCTTACGATGAATTTTATTGAGCCTCAAATATGATACTTTATTTATTAAAAATTGTTTATTATCAAAGAAACTAAATTTTTTCGACGGTTTCCTTTCTTTGTTTGAGCAGATATATCTAAAAAAACAACATTTATTCTAGAAGCTGGGTTAGTGCTATATCCGACAGCTCCAAGTATGAAAATAGAATCCATTTTTGATGGAGGCTCTTTATCTAGAGTGTTTCTCAAAGTGATCAATGGATTTCACTATAGAAATCTTTGCTTGCTGCTGCTTGTCGTCGTTTTAAGGCTTTTTCTTTCAACGAGGTGAAGTATACATTACCAGACAACTATCTTTGAAAAACATTCCTTATTTCAATTTTCATAGAAAGTACACTGAGCTTCGTACTTACTGGTTCTCGCAGTTTGCAACAGGGCATCCCATCTTAAGTTNCACGACTACCGCAGTCGAATTTCCAGTAGATGATCAAGGAATCATGAGCGCTTGTTCTGCAGGAAAGCCGACCTTGTTCACAGACAAACATGTCGTCTTGGTCGTCAGAGCAAACCCAATTAAGCAAATTCTGACTGATAAAAAGCTATCGTTAGTTTAATATTGCAAATAAACGCCAAAACACTCAAATATGTCTGTACTTGAATAAATAAATAAATAAATAAATTGGTCCGATTGCTGAATTATACGAAGGACTCAGCTGACGTGATCGAGTCGGTTATGCGGTATACGAAAAAAAAGCAAACAAAGCAACCAACCAACCAACCGACCCATATCTGATCACGGAGCACAGCTAGGATCGAAATGTTCCGTTCTTACTGAGAGAGTAAAAACCGGAGAACTCGGAGAAAAAACCCTCGAAGCTCCGAGTATGAAAATAGAATCCATTTTGATGGAGACATGTATAGAAATCTTTGTTTGGTGCTGCTTGTCGTCGTTTTAAAAGGTTACTCGCGTTTTCTTTCAAATAGGTATACATTATCAGACAACTGTCTTTGAAAAACATTCCTTATTTCAAACTTCATAGAAAGTACGCTCGTACTTACTGGCTTTCGCAGTTTGCAATAGGGCAACTTATCCTAAGTTGATACCAAGGCATAGTTTTTGATCCGATGAGTCTAGAATTGATGGTAAATTCCCAGAACTGTTTACTTTCATTTTAAAAAAACTCTCGATGGTTTCCGCTCACGCGGGTCGAGTTGCGTGGATGACCACTCTTGCTATATCAGATATCAATGCTTGCCGCGATTGACGAGTTTGTTATTGAGTTACATTAGCAGAAATCAAGGACCTCTGACGTATTTTGATATGGCCGCTCAAGAACAAAAGAAATGTATGTGGCAAAAAAGTTCAGGTTTCAGGTTTCCATTTAATATTAACATTCTCTTTGAATCAAAATTATAAATCACTACGCTAAGAGGGTTTCAATGGGGTGGTACGCATCACGACTCACGGCTAAAAATTTTGCGATTTCACAACTCACGACTAATTTTTTCGAATCACGGTTAACTAGATTACTTTTAGAAATTTTTGAATTACGTTTTTCATTGCTTTTTAGTCGGACTAGCCGAAGGCGGTCCGACTTTAAATTTAGCTTTTAGCCTATCGATCAATCTATCTACACCTATTTCAAAAAACGTTGTCGTCACCACGACACAGTCCACAGTCTTAAGCCTGCAAAGAATCTCGGGGTTTCCTAGTCTCTTTTAACAGCCGCGACTTCGCCGGAAGTGGCGGCTGTTAAAAGAGACTAACATTCGCTTCGAGACGGAGAGTATTCCAGTTTCGAATTCTCCAATACTCTGTGTTAGCCTCATTTGCGCGCAATATGTTCGTAATTGTGAGAATAAAAGTGTGAGATTTCAAATCAATTCTATTGTCTCTCTTTTCAAATTCCATGCGTTTTCTCGGGCTATCAATAAAACAAAAGAATACGCTGCTTGGTTTTAAACCAGAACTCTAATTATTTATGGTAATCCCGAGATTCTCTGCGGTCTCAAGACCGTGGACTGTGTCCTGGCGACGACAACGTTTTTTGAAATAGGTGTATCTATGTATTATGTCGCGTTTGGACCACCGGAAGTTAAGAATTTAATAATTAACTATTGGGTTGGCTGTGTTATTACATGACCGGAATCTCAAGCGTATTGATGTACGAATATCGTTAGTAAATGTT